AAGATTATGGCAATGTGATAAATACATTAGTTTGCAAGTGGTTGACGATGAAGACCTGGAGATGACAATGGAAGAATTTTTAAACCAGTCAAGGACAGATTTTCTGGAGTTGTATGTCTACATTGCCGCAAACGAGAATGTTCCCTTACCGGTGAAGTCAGTTGATTTAAATTTTGCCCGTCTTCCATCTTTGTCTGCCGCTCATGCGTCTCCAGTTGGTAACTATTCTGAGGGAGATGAAAATGATCCGACTTGGGAAATGCACGACGACGACGATGATGAAAATATCGCAATGGAAGAACGTCTTCTGGCGGAGGATGCTAGTGTTTCCGAAGGAGATGAAGGTGCCAAAATGGGTGCGTCTCAAATCCCAATATTCCATCAACCAGTGGTCGCGCAAATGACGCAGTTGCATGACGTTGCGTCTTCCCCATTAGGGATTCATCATGAAGGTAATTGAAATAATGTGTATATAGTTGAGTACATACCTAATTTAATACCTGAATTATGAAGTTTGTATTAATAAGTTACAATCCGCAGTTGCAGGTGACGAAGCTGTTATTCCTTTTTGGCAAGGAATTCCGCATTGTTCCTACATTGATTGGAGTTATCAGAGCGAACAAGAATCTTGCACTGACGGTACGGTCTTAGAATCGGGTTCAATACAAGGTCCGTGGCAACTGGGTGACAATTTGTTTGTCAATCAAGAATTTGCAACAAAAAAAGATGTTCAAATGGCACTTAAGCACCTCCTCATTAGGGAGCATCAAGAAGCAATTGTAATTGAGAGCACGCCTGCAAAGTTATCCATGAAATGTTGTGCGTATGATAAGGGTTGCCCGTGGCGCATTAGGGCCATGAAACCAGTGTTTGGTGAAAATTGGAAGATTACGAGATTGGGTGGAAAACACAATTGTTTGAATGAGCACATTTCGCAGGAACATAGACAACTCGATGCAGACGTTATTGCAGATCTCATCATAGGTACGTATTTATTTATCGTAATGACATGTCAATGTTTACGTACTGCTCTGTAATTAAATTTGTGAGCTATTATCGAGTCTGGGTCCTCTTCAATGCAGGAATGATAAAGGAAGAACCATCTGTGTCAATCTCTTTGGTGCAAGAAAGGATAACCGCTAAATATGGCTTTAAAGTTTCCTACAGAAAGGCGTGGTATGCGAAGCAGAAAGCGATCGCAATTATGTACGGTGATTGGGAGGAATCGTACGCTTTTTTGCCAAGGTGGTACGAATACATGTTGCGCTTTTCTCCAGGTTCATTTTATAATATCCAAACAAATGATCTTTATGCAGAGCAGAGCTTAGTTACTGGAAAGAAGGTGTTTCATCGCATATTTTGGATGTTTAGACAGTGTTGTGAGGCGTTCAAATTTGCCAAACTCGTCATTCAAATTGATGGAACACATTTATATGGGAAGTACAAAGGCAAATTGTTGGTGGCCACAGCCCAAGGTGGTAATGATTAATGTTTACCGATTGCTTTTGCCATCGTCGAAGGCAAGACCTTGGATGCATGGAACTATTTTCTTGTTAATATTCGTGCTCGTGTTACTGACATGTCAAACATATGTTTGATCTCCGATCGGCATCGTAGCATAATATCTACTGTGGAGAATAACCCTAATTGGCAGCCACCAAATGCATATCACGTCTTTTGTATTCGTCATATTGCAAGCAACTTCAATCAAAAGTTTCGGAATGAAGGTTTAAAGCATATGCTAAAGAATTTAGGTATACTCATTGACACGATGCATATTTATGTCATTCCATTATGTTTATCAATTTATGTTTAATTTGTGGATGTCCATTATGTACAGGTTATATTCCGGCCATCGTTGATTTTGAAAGGAATCTTGCGAGCTTCCGTGAAAGTAGTCCTCAAATTGCTGAGTGGATTGATGACATTCCTAAGGAAAAGTGGTCGCGAGCCTATGATATTGAAGGACGGAGGTACGGTCATATGACAACAAACTTGGCTGAATCTGTCAATAGGGTTTTCAAGGGGGCCAGAAATATCTCTATAACTGCATTGGTTAAGCATACATATAGCAGATTGGTTGCATATTTTGTTGAGAGAGGAACAAATGTCGTTGCACAACTTCAATCAGCTCATCGTCACTCCAAAAATGTTGTTGAATTGGTCAAGAAGAACCAAGTAGATGCAACAGGCCACCACGTTCGTGCATACAATGTTGAACATACTGTCTTCGAGGTTAACGCAGGTTGGGAGCGTTCATATTCTGTCAACCTCCCACAGAGATTCTGTCAGTGTGGAAAGTTTAAGGCCTTTAAGTATCCGTGTAGTCACGCCGTTGTTGCTGCATTAAGTGTTAGGCAGAGTGCGTTCACATACGTTGACGATGTCTTCTTGACAACAAACTTGGTCGAGGCTTATTCTTTTTCGTGGGAGTCAATCGGAAATGAGGAAGCAATACCTGAAATTAGTGGTCCAAAGATTATTCCTGATGCCACTATGTTGCGCGCAAAAGGTCGTCCAAAGTCAACTCGCATCCGCAACGAGATGGACGAAGTTGAGACAAGTCAAAGCCGTATCAGGTGTGGACTTTGCAAGGAACGCGGCCATAATCGTCGGGGATGTCCAAGTCGTGGGAGAAACGACTAAGATACTTAGTAATGTCATTATTTTGCTGTTGGTTATTATTTTGATGTTGGTTATCTTATTGCTTGAATTGTAATGTCCGTTATGTTGAACTTTTTCCTTTCCTTTTATGTATGTTTTTATTCTTGTATTATTAATTAACCGTCCTGATTAGTTACCGTAACACAAATGCAATAAGGACGACCAACCAAGCATAAATAATAAAGCATAGTGAAAAGTCCAAATAATATAATAATGTACAGTCCACAAAAAAACAATGATCCGACTAAAGTCATAACTAATACAAAATAACAATATAATAACAATCTGATACACTCCACAAAAATAGTGAATATTAAAAATGGCAATGAAACTACAACCACGGTGGCCATGACCTATGTCGTGCATCCCTATCTGGTAGTATACGTCTGTCCCAGACTGGGTCTCCCTGATGTACCTGTACCTGTGCATGTGCCTGTGGTGGTGGAGTGTGGAAGTCATCCATCGTCGCACGCATGAAATCATCTGCTTGGCCGTGCCCACTAATATCTGAAGACTGGCCTATATAATGTGAATAACCTGCTCCTACACTACTGCCATGCACTTCAAATGGGGTGTGTCCCTGACTGTGAGAATCTGTGGCTAGCGTCTCCCCACTGTCATGGCTCTCTGTGACAAGGCCTACTGAGCGATACAACTCCATCGTTTCCTCTGCAGACCAATGGGGGAAATCGGCATCAAGTCCTTGTGACTACTGCTGGAACTCAGGCTGCGAGGGTGCCGGATCCGCCCCTGCCATAGCCATCAGACTAGCCTGGAAAACTGGCTCCTGTGAGTCCATGTATGGGTGCCGATTTTATATAAGATTAACTAAGCATACCGGCATCCATAATGCGTGCCCGTCTCTGGATGAGGAGGAAGCGGCGGAGCAATGGGTGGGATCGTATCCATGCCCAGATTTGAAAGAGAATATGGCAACCACCCATGTCAAATCGATCGGCATCTGTCAATTCACACAAATTCCTGAAAAGGTGTGACAGAACCGCAGATCCCCAGTTGTATCAACCAATATCATCAAATCCTCCCCTAAGCAACGGGACTAGCCGACAATCGAAATTGCTGCCTCCAGACTTGTCCGCCAGCAACCAAGAACCAAGCATCCTGGCAATGTGCGCCTTTGTGAAGTAGATCTCGGTAGCATGATCCCCTTCATGATCAGTCCACCTGGTATATAACCGATCTAAGTATGAGATACGCACGTCGCCTGAATGATGGAACTCATTTGGCTGTGGAACCGCGCCAAATACAGCCCCACAAACAGCGGGCCAATCCTCAGAGGTGGATCCGGTAACGACATCCCCGTCAGTAGGCAACCCCAATATGCCTGCCACATCTTGCAAGGTGATAGTCATCTCACCTTGGGTCATGTGGAAAGTATGTGTCTCTGGTCTCCACCTCTCGACCAGAGCACTAATTAAAGGGGCATCGATCTGTGATAAAATATACAATCAGAGCGTGTTAACGAATAATAACGTAAATACAAAACAACGTAAATTGCATACCTGAATATGTCGCATCCGGGCAACATGTATGAATCCGGCCTGTGTCAGGTAGTCTGCGACAACCTCTGGGATAGCGCCTATAGGTGGCCCCCCAGATGGCTTCCCACATCTAGTCTTTATTTTCCTTACATGCTCTGTACTCCACACTCGCTGTGAAATATGAGCTTTCTGCGTCCTCTTACGAAGGACCTCCCATCTGTACGGCCCCGGTATGATGTACATGCTGGGATCGGTAGGCTTTACATCCGATGCAGAACCCGATGAAGATGATGACTCAGCCATTACCCTCAACTATATAATATAAAATAACATTTACATTAATCACATGTAATGCCCCATTTTATTTACAAATTAATTAAGCAATGACATAATTTATTATAAAAAAATTTAAGCATATGCGTCATTTTCATTACTACAATCAAAATTAATGAAATAATGTTAATACATAGTACAGTAATTTATTTGTAATTAAATAATAAAAATACATTGGACAAAAGTAATATAATACTTACAGAATACTTGACCCTAGGTCACTAATAACTTCATAAATATGTACTAATCATCACACCTAAATGACTACAAAATTATGAATAAACTCCCGCATTAATAACATCATACATACAAAATTTACGAAGTCGCTATCACTATTTACTAAATCACTAATTAATACGTTGAACCCTAATGCATAATTAAATATTAATAATATGAACTACGTAACAAAAAAAGGGAAGTATCATTACAACATTCATAGCATTGCACAAAATTTCTAAGTGACTATCCTAATGTTCTCAGTCTATATACGATCAATTTTAACATGCATTACTAACTACCACCGTAATTTAAACGTATACAGAGGAAGTATTACGACCTTACCTAAGTCGGCAGAGCTTCGCTAAGAACCATGGTTAGAGAGGTTAGAGAGTGGTGAATGAGTGAGGAGTGAAAAAGAAAGTGGGGGTATTTATAGTATTGCACAATGTGACGCCCCTTTTGGGCGTCACATGTGACGCCCCATTGAGGCGTCTTCTCCTTCATGAGAGACGCCTCAATGAGGCGTCACATGTGACGCCCAAAAAGGGCGTCACATTGTGCAATACATCTGTAAATACTCCCCAAACTGCAATAAATGCGTAATTATTTAATTAAATTGCAATAAATAAATTTTTTTACCTAATATAACCTCACTTTCCTACACACACATTAAAGAGGTGAGGTCCACATATTTTTTTTTTCTTTCATCATTCCACTTTCTCTCTCCCTTTTATTGTATGTGTTAGAAATAACACTTAAATTATGTTACATAACATTAATAAAACCCTTAATCTTTCTATTTCTTATAGTTGTCAATTAAATGGTACAAATATATTTGCGTGACTATAATTGTCCTTTCTTGTTATGAATTGTTATATATAATCTAACCATAAAAGGAAATTTTGTAGTAGTGATATCTTCGATTTGCACCAAGAGCAAGTCCCTGATGAAGTGGCATGGTTTTGGCAAAAAGAGATTGTCAGGGACAAGAAGGCCTACATTGAAAAGCAAAGGGGAATGCACTCACACCCTTGTTAATCTGCAACACGCTTCTGTAGTAAGAGCAAGTAATGAACATGAAGCCATCTTTTGCAATTCATTGAGTGATTAGAGTGATTTTATATGTTCTGATGTTCATGTTCCAATATAGAACATGGGTTTAACATCCACAAGCATTGCTCATCTTATTTACACAACGGTGTTTTCAATTTTTGTTTGTTATTTTGTTTTGTTTTGTTTTTTAAATCCTTTTTTTATCTTTATGGTAGTATAGATAAACTCGCACACTATCTTAATCTCAAACTATCTTTTGAGCGTTCATGTAAATACCTTGTCAATTGCTTTCCTTTTCAATTTATCAATGAATGCTAGAATAGCCAAATTATTGGGGTTCAAGCAATTTATTTGTGTGTTGGTTGATATTGTTTGTGCTATAGCACATGTTTGTTGGTTTTTTCACCCTTTTGTCCCTTATTAATTAATTAATAATTATTTTGTCCCTAATTCGAAACTATCTACCAATTTGCCCTTCTTTAATCGACTACTTTGCATTTTTAGTCGATTAAATGGTCAAAACAGGCAAAAACGGTTGTTGGGAGATTTGATCGACTAAATCTCCCTATTTAATCGACTAAATCTCCCGACAGACAATAAAGGAAAACAAGTCAGTATGATTTTTTAATCGATTAAGTAGGGAGATTTAGTCGATTAAATCTCCCAACAACCATTTAGTCGATTAAAAATTCAAGTTAGTCGATTAAAGAGGGGCAGATTGGTAGATAGTTTCGAATCATGGACAAAATAGTTATTAATTAATTAATGAGGGGCAAAATAGTCAAATAGCCCATGCTTGTTTCTACCTTTTTTTAAGGGAAAAAAATACTTTTTAATTAAAACTCATGTTAAATTTTATTTTATTTTATTTATTTGAATAAACTACAAGTATCTTCCACCGGAGGCAATCTGTTCGAGCCAAAACATCTACTTCATAATAGGACTAATTCTCTCAAAAAGGATTTCATGTACTTTTTATTCGTAATGATTAGATAAGTATTTCTTTGAAGATAAAGGTAAAAACTTTGTAAAACCAATTTTAGCGCTTTTATCATAATGTAGTAAGAGTATTTCTGAAAAAATAAAATAAAATTATAAAAGCATTTTTCTTTAATCTAAATGCACCCATATTTATGTAATGATCCAAAATTAGCTCACATAAAAAAATTTTATTTATGTCAGCATACTTAGTGGTGGAAGTTGCCCCCAGAATTTGTTTTTTGAAATAAAGTTTTAAATATATTAAAAAATAAAAGAATATAAATAAGAAAAGAACAAAATTCAAATTAACATAAAAAAACCAAAATTATTTATTTTTATAACTTAATTTTATATTTTTGTAATTTTTCTAAAAGTATTTAATCAATTCTCACTACAAATACATAAATTACACAACGAAAATATATCATGAAGACAAGTAAGAATTAAAAAAAAAATAACAACACTAATTATTTTTCTTATATTTTCAGTTTTTTGGTAATTTTATATCTTTTATTTAATTTTATCCTAATTAAATATTTTTCTCTTTTTAAATTTTAAGAATTTTATATATTTTTTAAATTCATTTCAATATCTTGACGTCAATGCTCGTAACCTCATACAAGAAAAGAAACAAGTCAAAGTTTACCCCACACACATACACACACACAAAAAAAAAAAGTCATGATTCTTCTTCTTTTAAATTTTGGGTTTTTACATTTTTATTACATTCATTTTTATTACTTCTCTCTTTTTTTGAAATAAGAAAAGATATTCAGACCCTCCTTGTATCCATAAGAAGGCCACGTTATTGGCCTGTGGGATTTAAAAAAAAAATCAACCCAAATGCAACTACCACATGATCATTAACCCAAATGCAAAAATAAAAAATAAAAAAACCTAAAGCCATAAGTTAAAAAAGAAGGATTGTTTTTTACCAAAAAAAAAAAGAGAAAAAAAAGAAGGATTGTCGATTGCACTTTTTGGACAGCGCTCTGGCAACTTTGAACAATGGAAGAGATGTGGTGCCTTGGCTAGATATAGTGTGGTGGTTCTAGTTTTATGGCTTGCAACTTTGAATCGACATGGATCTACAAGGAGGCGATGGAGTGAAGTTGTTCGACGATGGTGGCTAGGTAGGAGTTAGTGACTACGAAGAAATTTTGTTGCTTTCAACGATCTAAGAAATCGCTCAATGGAACTCTCAATTCAGGTGCTATTTCGGTGGAAACATGAGTTAGACAGCTAAAGCTACAGTACTTGCAGTCACTTGCAACAAAGTAGTAGGTCCACCACTGATCCAAATGAGATTGAAATCGTCATTGGAATTAATACATTTTTAGGTGTATAAAATTATTTACAAATTTTATGAAAAATTTAGTATAAATTGGAAATAATCTACAGCACCAATCACAAATTCAAATACCTTTTTTTTTGTCAAATGGACAAAAACTTACGTTTATCTACATGAATTTTATGATTTTTTTTAATAATGTTATAGAATAAGTTATATTAATATATAAATTATTGTTATAAGAAAAAGATAGATGTTAAAACATTTTCTTTATAAGAAATTTTTGTGAGGGGTCAAATTATATATGTATTTTAAAATTCCTAATTAAAATAGGTATTATCATGAATGTAAGCTTCTTCTAAAGTTGTAATTGCTCAATGGACCAACACACCTGAAATCCACTTTGAAGAGCTTCCACATGTGACAAAATAGTATCACAATCTCAAATTTGATCATATAAAGAGACTAGGTTATCACTTTAATATAAGGGGGGAAAATTTTTTTTTTTTTTTTTTTTTTTTGTATATCAAGGGGGGAAAACTTCTTATGCAACAGCGGAAGTCTATTCTCTTTTTTCGATATGTGCACCAACAACTTTTCTTTTCAAAATGGATCCAACTTCTTTGCTACACATCCCCAACTTCTATAATAACAGCAAAAGTGGCAAAATCTTAATATAATCCCACAATAAATGGAACAGTTATAAAAGTAATTGAATAATGTATTGTCAGCAACCATGGAACAAAACAAGATTAGTTCAAGGAAACAAAATGACATGACATAAAATATTCCACAAGAAAGCAGAAGCAATTATTTAGAATACTTCAATGTATTAAGGGTCATATACAAAATATAAAGCATAAATCATTTCTTCCACAAAAAATGCCATATGATCAAACATTTACATAATTACTTGGTTATATCAAACTCATAGTACGATAGCATTCTCCTGGAAGTAGAAGAAGAAATCGTTATCATTGTTTTAACATTTAGAATATAGAGATCCATAAAACAAAACCTATAATATGTATGTAAGATCAGTACTGCAATCAGACAGTGATCAAACATGCATACTAATCATCAAATCTAGTAAAACAAACAAAATGAAGGGACTATAAAAATTTAAAAAATTATCAACAAACCTGAACTGAATCTAATTCAACTTTATCCAAAGCATTCTCAACTCCCTTTGTATATTCCCTAAGTTTTGTACCTTTCGGATAGTATGTTTGCAATTACCTATGGGGCTAACCAGAAGAATATTGCAAAGGTAAGGAATATAAGACTATATAGAGAACATGTTTTGTGGCCACTAACTATACATGGGAAGAAAATACCAATGTCCATAAAATGTTATCATAAATGAAGTCATTAAGAGAATGAAATCGTTCCCATGCTTAACATCAAACTAGTTGGTGCAATAGCCTCCCATTGAAGCACTCTTCAAAAAGTTGATAACTTGTTTAAAAAATATTATCCTATGCACCAGCGAGGGATAAGATTTCAATCATGAGAAGAACATGGAGGGTTTCTCAAATAGGTAGTTAATGGTAATTTTGGTAAATAGATAGTTACTAATTAAGAACAAGCATGGAACATTGCAAAGCGGTTTGGGAAAATTCTGATATAAACAATTATGCTAAAATCAGTCAGGGCATTTCAGCACAATCTAAAAAAGTAGAGTTCCCAACACTAGGATGAAATAACAAATCCATCATCATTTTTACATTCTTTGAGCTCTTGTTGTAGTCCTTCCAATGATATATCAACATTGCATAACAACTCAACCAAAACATTAAAAACTAATAATCTTGATAGTATAATTCAGGATCAACTGAAACAAATAGTAATAATCAGAAAATCATCTTAAATTTTAAACCACGGAAGTAGAGGAGAGAATACGGACTTGCTAAGATCCTCTTCGAAGGTTAAGTCACCAACTGATGCTCCTAAATCAAATGTGTTAGAGGGGCTCTGCACACCACCAAACATTCAATTAAATGATGGATCCAACAAGTTTTTGATAACAGAAGCAGTTGAGGTGTAATAGAGAAAAGAAAAAATTCAAGGGGACATAATTTATTAACAGAACGTAGAGAAAAGTAAGCAAATGATGACACAATTTTATGCAAAAAAATATGACATCCTAAACTTAAGCATTTTAAATAAGGGAAAAAAATATCTAATGTTACTTTAGATAATTTTATCTAATGTTCATCGAAACTACGTTGTTTTGGGGTTAAAAAATAAAAAATTAGAATGTCAAAGACTATTATAACCCTGAAATAAATTAAAATTACAAAAACACCATAATTTTCGTCCCAAAATGACGTCATTTCGATGAACATTAGATAAAGTTACATAAAGTAACTTTAGAAAAACCAAACCCTTTAAATAATGGGTTTTTTTTTCGTGTCACATGAGGTAGTATCTCTCATGTCATAGACACAACAAGGGTCCATAATTTGTTAAAAAAATAGCACGGATTTCGTTACCTTATAACATGATAAAGTAATCTTCTATTGCATGAGAAAATGACTTTCCCTAAATAATTATATATTACCTGAATAAGTACTATTGACGATAATAATACGGCAATAAACTTCTTATGTAGCAGAAGAAGAAGAAAATTCCTATTGACCCTTCAATTACTGCACCGGCTCCTTTTTTTTTTTTATTAAACATATGAGCCCCTCATGTTTTTTTCTCTCTATAGCACAAGACAAGGGTTTACATTTTTCCAACTAGTTGACGTCGAACAGTCAATTATTTACCATATATATAGGTGACAATATTAAATGTGAGAAATCATAACCATACAAAAGATAAAAGCATCAAATGAAGGAAATCATAACCATACATCTATCATTGTTGAACGCCAAGCGACTCGAGAAATGATTTTACCTAAAAGTTATAAGTTATTGGGAATTAATAAATTATAATCGATAGATTATAAGTGTATCCAATAAATTATAATCGTTAGATTGATGAAAATCAACAATAATTAGTTTAATAGTAAGAGTTATAAAACTTTTCGGTTGTAAGTATAACCTCTTCCTATTATATAATCTGTGGACAGAAATATTGGGGTTAAACAGAGTAATCAAGTGAAATTGAAGTAAACTTATAATACAAGAAAACAACAACAGCAATAATAGCATTAACACAATAATTGACATATTAAAAAAATTTATATGAAAAACTCAATATCGGAAGAAAAATCACGAAACTTTTATCATAATCCTAATCCTCTTAAATCTCCACCGTCAACAATCAATAATATGTATACATGATAAAACATGTTATCTTTATGGGAATTATTTTTTTTATGTTGTCTAAGATAAAAACAATCTTCCTACACTCACGAAAGGAAGAGAGAGGAGAGAGAATAGAAAAAAGAGAAAAATTTTAAAATAGATTCCACACAAGATTTGTACGTGTAGAAAAATTACTTTATCTTATGCAACATAAAAAAAACAATCCACTATCTTTATATAACATTATCAAATAGATAGAAATCAAAACATAAAGCATGAAAAAGAAGTCATTAAAGAAGCATCAAAAGAATGTGTATGCTCTCCTCTCGTTTCTCTTCTCCAGCATCAGCACTGCTCTTCTTCTTTCTTTCTCTCCGGCTATCTTCTTTCTTTCTTATTGTGCAGCCGCTAGTGCCCGTTGGCCGTTGCTCTCCTTCTCTTCCTCCTTTTCTTTTTCAAATTGCAAATGGGCCATGGACCCACCACTAACTAAAGAGGGTCACGGAGCCAACAGGAAATCAATCCGTTGTAAGATAGCTTCTTTGAAAAACCAAAGGCATTGGCTTTATAAAGCATACCCAATTATTTACCCTGAAATGACATATAGCAGCTCTGCCCCTCAAATCAGTTTTGAAAAACTTGTAACACTAAATTCTTTTTCTGGTCCTAACAAAAAAATATGATCTTCATTTTATTTTTTTATAAAAAAATTAATTATCTGTTCTCTATGAAATTCAAAGTGGATACATTTTAATCCTAATATAAAGTTTTTTTTTTGAATTTGTAAAGAATTACAATTTCAACTAAACAAGTCCACTTTATATTTCTTAGAAATCTCGGACTAATTTTTTTGACAAGCTACTAAAGTGGAAACTTATTTTTTTTCTAAGGATCCAAATCGAACTTTACTCAACTTTTAAACTTACAAGTAGACGTTCTCATGGTTATGCTGCACGTCTCAATTCCAAGTAGCAACCCTTCATATAAACACCATCACAATTTCCATCTCTCTACTCTTATTGTTTGTCTCTGACTATACATCTAACAACTTTTCGTTTGCATTTTCATGCTGCCACTGTTCATCCAAATTCCACCCTGAAGAGGACTCTTCCAATGGACGCATCACCGGACACCATTATCGAAGTTAGGGAAGAGCTCATGGTTTCACCCTCATCTGGTGAAAACCCAACTCGCAGAACTGCTTATTTTCTCAAACCTTGTGTGAGTAGCATCGAGGAGTCAGCAAGTGACTTTCTTCTTCCTCATTCCATGTTTTCTGGAACAGCCACTTCCAATCCTGACTCAAAGCTGCCACCAAAAGTAAGATATTGTGGATGGCGAAGCCCACAAGAAGAATGGAAAACATGGATCCAACAAATGCAACCCAAATATGAATATCTTTGGATAAAAGCTGGGATAGACAAAGCTATCAAAGCTTCTACATATGAAATCCCAAGAAAAGATGAGTTGATTCTTGAGCTTGCTCAACGATGGTGTTCAAAGACCAACACATTCATCTTTCCTTGGGGAGAAGCAACCATCACGTTGGAAGATATGAAAGTTTTGGGGGGTTACTCGGTTATGGGAGCTCCTGTTTCTAGCCCTCTTGAGACCCATCGGCGAAAGGAAACAGAAGCAGAGCTAGTTGCAGCAATAAGAATCTTTAATAGCACTAAAGCAAGAAAGGTGGTTCATAAGCCATGGATGATGCATTTCATGAAGAATGAAAGCAAAGTGGAGCACGAGGCTTTTTTGGTTCTGTGGTTGTCAAGGTTTGTGTTTCCTGCAACACGTGACGCCATTCTGCAAAGCGTTTTTCCTATTGCAATTCATCTAGCTAGAGGGACTGAAATTGCTCTTGCACCTGCTGTTTTAGCAAGCATTTATAGGGACTTAAGTTTGTTCAAAAGCAATATCAACAGTGCCACAAGCAAGTGTAGAGGTAGTCTATCTCTATGGGCTCCTTTTCATTTGGTCCAAGTATGGGCTTTGGAGAGATTTCAAGCACTGCAGCCACATCCACATGCAATTGAGCAAGGCCAACCAAGGATGGCTAGATGGCACTTAATAAAAATGCTGAAAGACAACAACTTGAAGTTGACTTTGGATTCCGCTGGAGTTAGAAATGGCTTTCTCTGGCGACCATATAAGAATTCTTCTATGGATAATGAATCGTTTGGTCGCTGCTTGAGGGTCTGTGAGTTGGAGGGTATGGGGTGTATAGAGCAGTACCTTCCACATCGTGTTGCCATGCAATTTGGAATGGATCAGGACATTCCTGCTATGGTTGCTCGTTATAAAAAGGATCCTTGGAAACTTTCAAAAAAACAAAAGGATCCTTTGATAAATTATAGCCAACCAATTATGGATACAAATTTGTGCACTGCATTATGTGCAAGCCAGCCATATGTTACTTCTAGGTACTATGATTGGTGGAAGCAATTAAAATCAGGCAATGAAGGAGATACAATAGAGGGTTATGATAATTATTGTCTGATAAGCATGAGCAACTCAGAAAATTTGTCACCTGCTTCATCTGGACAGGTAGAGGGTGAAGCTTCCTATGGCTCACCACCTGGTTTTACTTCCAAGTTCAAGAGAGTTCAAGTAGATGATTCTGCTCAAGAGGATCAGATGACAATTAATGAACTATTGAGTTCTAGATGTTTTGATGATGAAGTAGTTGGAAAAGGCAAAGCTTTGTCTAGTCCTGAATCTGGTGTTTTTCCATCATCAAGGGTGGGTGATGTAACAGCTGGATCAAGAAGTAAGGATGTTCTTAGACGATCAAAAAGAACCATGGAAGATGGTCAAATAGAAAATATTGTTGGGGAAGCAAAAAGAGTCAAGGATGATGGGGATGAAGCCAAAAATAAGAGTCCATTTTGTGACAGAAATGGTGCCCCTAACATGGAAGGGGAAGGTGCTAGTCCATGTACAGTAAACATAGCCTGTGATCTTGAAAACCGGATTTTGATGCTTGAAAGAGTGGTTGCCAAGCTTAAAGCAGCCAAATTTGGCCCTAAGGTTGAAAGTATTGGAGCCAAAGTAAAGCCATAGCACTCTCCTTGGTTTGTACCAACAGAAACAGCTCCTTAATTCCAAGTAATGGTATAGAACAATTCGATTGATAACTTGATAGTCCTTTGTTTTTTTTTGTTACAACCTGTGCTAGTTGCCTTTGTTTGTACTTTGTATTTAGTAGTAGGTGAATCAGTGGCTATTGAAGAGAGAGAGAGACCTTCAAGAACATGATCTTCAGGTCCAAGAGAAGAATCCCCACAAATATCACAAACAACTCGTCCATGGATTTCACCAGTCCCAAAACAGAGAACAACAATAGAATCAGACCCATCATCATTTTCTGCTTTGCTTCCATGGTTGGGATTGAGAAACAACCAAAAAACGGTACCTTTCCCAGAGAACTCTGTTTTTGGGTTTGTGGGGTAGTTTTGTATGCACCTGTGGGGTCCTCTCATCACAGCGCTTTGATTTTTCCACCGACACTAGCTGAGTCACTGAGTCCAACGCTCGAGTCAACCTAAGCGTCGTTGAATAGGACTAAAGCGTCATTACGTAAAATCTTGAGGGACTAACTTGGAAAAATACCCTCTCCAAAGCCTCATATTTTCTGTTTTGTTGTGCTGCTTTTCATAAAAATTTGACACTACCCAGTATTATCACCTGTTAAGATTAGAAACTAGTGATTTATAATATTTATTCTTTTATTTTTCTTATATTACATAAGATAAATCTTCTCTCCTAGTCTCATAATAAATGATGATATCCACTTTATTTTTTAAAAAAGAAAAAAATAGAATACGAAAATCGAAATAAGAGTAGAAGATAAAATTTCTCTTACGTGACATCAGAAAAATAAAACTCTTATTTTATATGCCCTTATTAATGTTATAAGAATTCCATTTAATTCTACTTTTAATAAAAGAATATATAAACTAGCTTACTAAATATTTATTCCCAAGATTATACAATTATGTTAAAAATTTGATAGGATGAATTTAATTATTCTTGAAATTTTTTTTACTCGAACTGAATTAATAGAGTAATTGATGAATTAATAAAAAAATTAAAAATTCTTCAAACATATATTATAATTGTGTGAATATTTTATATTTATATTTTAATTTTTTTATATATATTGGTAAAGTTTTATTTATTTTATATTTATTAAGATGGAGATAAATATAAAAATTTTACGTTAAAATATTGTCAGGTGAAAATCTCTATGTTTGGTTGTAGAGAAACTTTATCTGTTTTATTTGAAGTTGATGTGTTGAGAAATTTCTGTTGGTAGGTCTTTCTTTTCCTGTTTGTGTATTGCGTGCTAGAAGTTCAAAATTTCTTCCATTGGGTGCATTTTTTTTTGTAATGTTTCTGATGAGCGGAAAATCAATTGCGTCGTTGGTGTTATTTTAGTTTGGAGGGCAATTTCTAATTTTGTCAATCGGATGAGTTAAGAATTTAAGATGGTCAATTCCATGTTTGATGGTAAATTATAAAGTTTTTTTTAATACGATGAGGTTGGTTTTGAATTTCTTTTTGTACATTGAGTTTATAGGTAATAAGCGGATGATTCCTGCAATGTTTTAATCTTATTATTTCTTATAGTTGTCAATTGAATGGTACAAATACAGTTGGGTGACCACAATTGCCCTTTCTTGTTATGAATGACTTTTCTTCTTTTGATCCTTGCAATGTTTCCATGGTTACCATGCTCTTTTCTTGAATTTATCAAAGAGTTTTAAATTGGTCTTGCCATCTTCCCCCGTCTCCAGAGTAATTCCTCATTGTTCATTGCACCCTCAGTTTGTCCATGTGATTCTTCATCGAGATACCACTCTTCCTCTTTCTCTGATTCGTTCTCCTCAACTAGAATCTATACTCCATTATTAGCGGTTTTAATGGGCCGAGCCGAGCCGAGCTTTGGTCTTAAAGGTTAAGCCTGTGTTTAAATATATCAGACTGACCAAGCTTGTTATGTGTTATGAATATAATTATCGGCATGTGGTCTGGTTTATTTACAAAAAATAAAAGCCTGATTTAGTCCGTTTAAAAAAAATAAGACAACAAAAATTTATCCATACAAAATTTACAATCAACAACACTAGTAATTCCTTAAATATTCATAAATTCAAGAGTAAATGCCTTTTTTGGTCCCTAACAAAATCCACGAGGCACAAATTAGTCCCTTGCAATAAAAAAGTCCATTCGCGGTCCTTGTGTTTTTAAAAAATGTGTCACGTTAGTCCTTCTGTTAGTTGGCATCCAACGGCCAAATTGACGGTGCGCACGTGGAACGTTAGTTAGCTGAGTCACTTGAGCTATCAGCCACGTTGGATTGTTGAACGACGTTGTTGTCAACATATATTGGTAACCATCAATGTTGGTCATCCCAATTGACATACAGAACCCTAAAAATTGTTATGGTTAAAATTTCCCCAAATCAATTAGACATTGAGGTCTGCAAAAGCACACAATTGAGGTATAATTAGAAGCGCAATGAAGTTGGAGAAGATGAGTGTGTCTTCTGGCAAATAGGGATTGAGTTCCAGCTCTTCAGTTGGTGGTTCAGCATTTGTAAGGAATGGTGGTCAAAGGTGTAATGTGGGAGGTCATCCATTGTTTATACCTCCAACACTGACAGAAATCCAAACAGTGCATTCTTTGGGTGTCCAAATTTCAAGGTATGAAATTGTAATTTGTTTTGATTGAAGTTCATACTTATGTGCAACTTGTTTTCTTTGGTGGCAGGAGAGGAAGCCATATTGTGATTTTTTTAGATGGATGGATGATGCATGTTACGAAAGGATGGACATCGAAGAATGAATAATAAACAAGCTTGAGTTGGACATAGCTGAGATGTAGTTCAAGTTGAAGTATGTGGACCTGAAGTTGACTGACCAATTACAACTAAAGTTGAATGAGCAAGAAAGGAACATGAAGGACTTGGAAAGAAAGATGAAGGAGCTATCATTAAAGATGGTTTCAGAGTTAGATAGGATAGCTTCTCAAAATAGGCATGTTTGTAGGTCAACAAGAGTCTTAGGTGCCACCATTGTTGGTCTGGTCATCATATATTTGTATTTTGGAAGTAGGGGAATATAGGAAGATAGTGTACCATGTGTAAGTTGGGTGAACTGAAGTGTAATGTTTTCTGTTTTCAATGAATGAGAAGTTTGGCAAAAATGGACTACTTTTTTTTTTTGGTTTTGTTTTTTATTGTTTAAATCCTTGGAGTGGATGTATCATCACATGTTGACAACAACAAAACGACAGTAGAAGGCTATTATGCTTATGTTGCATCCATGGAGTGGTTTGATATGGAACCTTCTCACATTAAAAATGACCTTATGTAGCAAAAGGTAATATGCAAGCAGGTTGGTTCACTAACACAGAACATTGACATAAAAGAACCCATCTACAATTGCAACTATGATGAGTTATGGCCTCTAATGTTGACCTGTCTTGTATTAATATAGAGTAAAAACTCTTTTTGGTCCCTAACAAATTCCACGAGGCACAAATTAGTCCCTTACAATAAAATCAGCTGGTAATTGCTGAACATACTTTCAATATATATATCAGCAAGCCATATACATCACATTGTAATACCAATCATCTATTCATTATATATATGTTAATGATCAGAACCCATTTACAAAATGTATCAAGAAGACTAATGATTCCAGACTAAAACAACAAAAAGGGCCTGATAAATACAGTAACTGATAGATCTTGTTTACAAAACATACTTTAAATATGCTAATGGCCTGGAATACAAAAAAATTTGACTACAATTCATAATGACCTTGCATACAGAAAAATGGCCTATATTTCCAGTGTTGCCTATACAAAAAATAGTGAGCCTGCATTTCAATTCTTTGAAGCTGGCCTTGGTGCCCTAAATCCAGGTGTGGACATGAAGGCCATTAGTCTATTCTTTGTGCCACTGCTTGTTGCATTGAGGCTTTCATTGGAAACTACTTCAGCTGGTGGTGGATTTGAAGGTGGTGGACTGCTACCTCTAATGGATCCTTCAGGTGCCTAAGAATTGGCTATTGAAGGGCCACCTTGACTGAGAGGTATCTCATCTCCTGGTCTTGATGTTATGTTGACAGTGACTGGGTTTGAAGGAACTGATGGTCTCTTCCCATTCTTACTCAATGCTGGTTGACACGAGCTGTCGAACTCGCGCAAATTAAAAATTATTTTTTTAATTAGGGTTCAGAAAATTTGCAGTAAAGTGGAAACCCTAAGTCGTCTCTCAAGGAAATTGTTTTGATTAAAATCGCTTATGAGAACAGAAAATTAAAAGGGGGGTTTTAGATTTTGATTCAATAATTAAAGAGGCAGAATATAAATTTGGAATAAAAATTCGTAATTAAAAATAACCAACCTAAGGTTTGGGTTCCATGGACGTCTTTCCTCGGATAAGAAGATATCAGAATCGTGATTGATTTGTCAATCGGATCAGAATCCTTATTTCCAATTGACAACCCTCTCTAAGCGATCGCTTAGCATTTGATCAAAGACGATGCTTCTACTCATACAATCGCAGAGTATCAGCCCGCTTGATTTAAGGTCATAGGGTCAATCAACCTAATCATCAAATCTGATGATTAATCCATTTCCATAATCGCAATCACGAACCTCAGATTGAATATCCACGATCGCACGATATCAATCTGAGTTGGGAAGGGAAACAAAACTGATTTGAAATAAACGCAGATCCTTAAGACCAATCCATGGAATCCATTACCCTTAGGTTGATTAAAAGGTTCTTAGCCTCGCATGGCTAAGGTAAACATAATTGAAATGAAAAGAAGAAGAAGAAGAAAAAAGATGAAGAACGCAATTGAATAAAAACTCAGAGAGAACTTCTCTGTTGTAAAAACTGCCTACCAAGGGTTTCCTAGAGTCCCCTTTAAATAGCCGTCACGCAGGACGACTAGGGTTTCATCGCTTCAGCCCAAACATAAAATAAAAGCTGAATAAAATAAAATAAAATAATAAAACATGGCCTTGGGCCCTAAACACAT